GTGGCAATAAGCGCCGTAATGTGCGCCTCTGCCTACTACTTCGGGGATAAAAGGCTTGATATTATGTCATGTGAAAAATATTTTTTGTACTGCGATTTTGGATATCTAAAATGTGTGTAGGCTCAACCTTTGTTTCCTCTGGGCAACAAACTTAAATATTTAGTTAATGTTAGACATACTTATGACATCTGAGTACAAACCCGTCATCTTAACATTCACATTTGTAACAAAACTAAAAAAGATCTCTTAACCCAGAACCAAACGAACTAACACATACGAACATTATGGCATAATCACTATAATTTTATACTCTACACTTAGAGCAAATCAGCTGCACTATTCCAGTAACGTCTTTTAAAAGAAGAATGATTTCCAAGACATAATTTCTTTTAAAACCTTGTAATTTATGTTTATGGAGGCAGTAGACAGATTACGTCATCACGTAATGGTAGATCATCATCATTAAAAACCTTTCTCTGTTGGATTACGATAATAAAAGGTCGTGATGTAATGCTGTGATAATCACCAGACCAGTGGCCACTTGGCTGATGTTTCTAGTTCACTTTGTGATGTTACTAACTTCCGTTTGTGGTTCTGTCCGTAGCAGTATTCGTTATTGTAACATAAAACCTTTGTGCTATCTAAGGCTATCAATTTCTGTGCCAGATTCAGCGGTTGCGGGGTGATTGAGTCATTAGCAATCGTTGAATTATATAAACTTTCGCATTTTATAATATTTTGTATTATCTTTAACCCAATCTAGAGGTATACATACATATATAAAACGCTTCGGTTACTGAGTGACTGACTGACTGACAGATAACGCACAGCCGAAACTACTGGTCGTAGAATGCTGAAATTTGGCATGTACGTTCCTTGGGGAGTATAGGGGAGCACTAAGAGAGTATTTTCTTAAATTCCCACGGGAACAGTAAAGACGGGAATTCCCTATTTGTGCGTACGAAGTCGCTGGAGGAAAGCTAGCTTTCAATAAATTTAAATAAATACTGAGTGATTTACTTCTCTATCTTGGCATATTTACCTACTTAAAATCAATGCCATTGATTTAAAAGAAGTATGTTGTCTATAATACTTTACCTTTTTTGTTTACTTTTAATTTATTGTAACAGTAAACCTCGTTTTGTTGTTTTTCAATTAAAATATTACAATGATACACAATTTTGGTTTCACTAAAGATCTTTATTTCTTATAATACAAATAACATTATTTACATTATGTTTAATACATTATCGTTACAATATCTAATCTTTTAGTATTTTACACATTACTGTGTCAGCTTCTAACCCACTGTTTTGTTCAATTTGCACCCAATTGTTAATTCATAAAATGTGTCTTTTTCCATTACAAATGACACGTAATTTTATTCATTCGCTCTTTTATTTACATTGATCAAACTCGATCATACCAATTTAATTTTTCTTACATTTAATTTTTTTTTATCTAATATCAATTTTCACAGTAATCTATTCAGCTTTCTAGTACCAATAATTTATAATAATGCGATCAAAATAAATACAAATATTAAACTAAGCGAATGAAACTAAGGAAGTCATAAAATTGTAGGGTAATTGCAGCTGAAATGAGTTTATAGGACACCTACATAATTGTATGGGTAGGTTTCATGCAGAGCTATAACAATAGAACTGGCGTATTGTTCTGAACAGTTATTGTGCATAGAAAGCTATACAGGAGACGTCAAAGTAGGTTTTAATGACGTCACATGATAATGAACCTAGATTTTAGACGGCAGCTAGAAAGTTAATATCTGATTCGTGTTTAAATATGTTAGTTGTCAAGCAAACATTTATAGAACAGAATAATATTACAGTTATGTATATCTATTTACAACAAAAACTAATAAACAACCATTGGCACTACATGAATAACAATGTCCTTAGTTGTACATCTCGGTGAAGGATTTGGTTTCAACAATAAATCGATCGTTGCATCAACTACGTCTGTATTCATATTTAATCCTAATATAATTTGTATCAATTGTATATACACGGCACATATTTTGTTAAATATAACACTATTCAAACGAAAAATACGTCAGTGCTTTTAAATATTTACACAATACTTATTATAATAAAATAAGGTACTTCAAACCATTACATTTTAAAACAAGAGTTATACACAAACATAAAAACCACAATTTTGTTTTGAATGAGCACTAAAACTTTATCTTTATACAGTAGGTATAATGAAGCATTTATCTCGAGAATAAATTATTTAAATGAAATCGTCTACTTTTCATTATCTAGTGCAGCTAGATGAGAACGTAATGTGAAATGCAAGTTCTTTTATATTCATTCAAAACAAAATTATCTTGCCTCGAATATAATAGCTAATAATATAAGTTCATTTGCTAATTATTGTTCATAATAATCAACAGTTTCACTTCTATATTAAATCACTTTTCGCTTACTTTCTGTCCACTAGTAGGTACATCGTTTCGATCACGTCAATCGTTGCTACAATCACAAGCCTTCGGGTCGCTCGCACACAACTCCCAATCAGGAATGTCAGTGCAGCCGCACTCAGATCGGGTTTGTCTAGTTTATTCCTACTAGAACGTAAAGTTCGTGTATTGGCTAATGCTTGATGCGTTATAAGTGTGCTAGTATGTCGATTTCTGAAGGCGGTTGTGTGTGTGTGTCATTGAGTGCGGGGGACCCAGACACGGTTACTATGACGGGCTGTGAGTCTGTGTGTACTATAGTGACGAGATGTTCGTCGGGATCTTTCTCTTGTTCGGGTTTGGGTAATGCTTCGATGGTGTTGTCAACGTATTTGAGGTCTATGGGGGTGATGGTGGGCAGGTTGTCGGTGACGGTGACAGGCGGGTCTGCGCGGGGGGCGCGGTATGATGGCGGCCCGCTGTACTCAGAGCCGCACCACGCTGCGCCAGTTGATCCTCTGCTGGGAAATACAAAGCAATATTTAGATATAACATCGGATTCTGCTCACGTATGAACCTAGTAGGGGTTTTAATATATTAATTCTTGTTTCAGTTCTACACTACATATTTGGATTTTCACCCAAGCTTTACTAATTAATTTAATATTCAAAGTAACACTGGTTTCTAGTTCTAATGTTTAACATATGTAGGTAAGTAACTAAGCTGTAAATGTTTAGAATTGTAAATACATCGTGCAAGTTGTTTTCTCATCCCAATGTAAATAGGATTGCCCCTTATTCCCCAAAGTGTAGAACTAACCACGAACATCTAGCACGATTTTGTATCAAACAGCGTATTATGTATATGAGTAAACAACAGCACATTCGTTTAAGATGAAAACCATTCAAAAATGAATGTACCACAATGTATTTTCCCGTCAACATTCGAGCGGTATTTGATAACAGATCGAGTATTTTCGTTCCAATAAGGAAAGCGATTTTGAAGACGAAACAATCGCGCGATAGGTTTCAGATTGCAATTGTATTGACTTTGTTCGTACCTGACTAGACTGGCTGAATTTGATCTGTATGTTGGTGGAGGCGACACGGCGGGCGCACTTCTGTCTAACAGAAGTAACCTGGAATTAAAAACAATTGTTATTTTCAAAGAAATGCGTTCATTGTGCTGTGTATATGGTTATTTGTTTGTTTGGCGTTATTAGTAAGCGTATTATAAATTAAATGAGTAATGGATTGCAATTTTCAAACGCAATAAACGACGTTTGCCTAATTTACAGTACACGTTCCGATTAAAAGCATTTTTTAAAAATATTAATAACTCTGTCAACAGAGCCGTTTGTCGCGAACGTCACGCGATACTATAAATAAAATAAAATTAGGTTTTACCAAAGTAAGTGGGAATGTATTTTTGTCACTGTAGATAGAGTTTTTAATAAGAGCTTTCTGTTTTGATGCCAACTTACATTACCTTAATATTCTGTTATAACTTGGATAAAAGTTAAAATTAGATACTTGATATGCTCCAAGAAACAAGACACGTGTAACGACTTAGGATACAAATGTTTAAGGGCAAATGTACCTAAAAGAATAACTTAAATCTTGTCGTCGCGGATACAAAGGTCACGATGCTAAAATAAATTTATGTATAGCAATAAATCCCGACATCCCAGGTTAACTTAGCCGAACCCTTAGCTCCTCCAAACCCACAGGACACCAATTTTCCAAAAGGGAAGAAAAATACTACAAACCTAAATCTATATTCTTGCATTGAGGCCTGACAGCTTACAGGTCTTATAGCGGAGCTAGGACTGCCCTCAAAGTTTCTTCTATTTGGCCTTCTAGGACACCAAGCCTCGTTACTATGAAATTAAAAGGAGATTTTATACATACCTAGTATTTGGGAGAATAGAAGACCCAAGTCTTGGGGACCTGGATGAGAATTCATTATTTTATGTTAAATACGAACCTGAGTCTGTATTCTTGCATTGAGGCTTGATAGGTGGGAGGTGGCGGCCTGTAGTGGAACTCTGGGTAAAGCATGGCTGCGTAGGGGTGATGTGGTCGTGCGTAGCTCGGAGGCAGTCGAGGCACGAGCCGCCGGCATGAGGCGCGGCGCAGCCCTAGCAACGCACAAGGAGCGTCTCGTGCACCTAGTCTCCACGCTAGTCCAGCCGCCGTCACTAACACTACTCCTATACCTGGAAAGAAAAGCAGTCATTAGTTTTATCAATATTCATTGTTAAGTACAACATTGTCTCTGTAAGATATATAAGGGGCAGTAATAAAGTGTTTTTGTTGAATTTGTGCGCTCATCCATTCGAGATTCCGGTGATTCTTTAATCATTTTGAGGATGTGTTTGTGTAGCAGTCAGTTTTACTAGATACTAAAATACCCTTTTACCGTAGTGTAGGACTATAGAAGTGTAGACCTCTACAACAACTGTCCATCGGAATGTGTTGGTATATATTTGCTTGCACATCATAATTAGTTTTGCCCACTGATATAACACGGCATATACCTACTACCGTATTGACATCAAAATTAATTCATCTAGAATCTAGACTTAACGACTTGACCTTTAGGTTGAAAACTGCATAACACTTATGTAACATGTATAGAGATGTTTGTAATCAGGTTAAATATCTGGGTTTGAAAAGTAGCTCTCACTGTTGCGTAATTCTGTTGTGTACGATTAGAGAGACACATTAGCATTGTGAATACGTTTTGTATCATTGTCAGCTGTCACATTCAGAAGTCTGTTGTAAAAAGCTTTCTGTGTCAGGCTGAAAATTTTTGAGGATACCATAGATCATCATTAACAATCTGTGCTAGTCTTTTGCTGGACTATCAGTAGTACTTATGATAGTCTCCATAGAGATAATCTCCATTCTTTAGCTGAAGGTTTGGAAGACACAGCTGATTTATTAGAGAGTGCTGCCGCCGTCTAGCAGTATCTGTAGTCTCTTAGTTATTACGACACCTTTGTACACCGACAAATGTTAAATACATTTGCCGTCGCCATAATTACTGCATATAATACTGGACATAGTTATGTAAACTTATGTTTTTATTCTCAAAGGGTTGACTGAGTTTTTTTTTACATTATGGTTACATGTTTATAAACATAAGCGGTTATTTTATAGAGATGGGAACTATTATACAATTCGCAAACAGGAATTAACATCACTGCTTCCTAATTGCCAATTGTTCTAGGATTAAATCCTTGACATGATCAGATATTTGAGGTTTAATAGGTATTGTGCTAGTGTGGGAATTAAAAAAGAGGATAATACTTTTGTTGCAATATTGCAATTACTACGTTCGATTCTTAAACATTCTATAAGGACATTATCGCGATGGATTTGTTATTTGGAGGACGAATCAATAGTGCTAACAAGCGCCATATGGATCAGCTGCCGTTTTTTACACTATTGTTATTTCAATTATTGGAAATAACTTTAAAATCAATTAATATCCCCAAAAGAATTCAAAATTCATTACCAATTTTGATGATTACCTATTACGTATATCAATAGGAATATTCATATAGAAACGCACCATCTGTCGCCATGACGTTGGATATTATGATAGATATTATATCTGTCAGAAATTAGCCACAGATAATAACAGCAACCGGCGCTTCAACAACTGTTGTTAATTACTTTCGTGCTCGCGATCACGAACAATATGTTCCGGTGTAATCCGAGCTTGCCGCTGACTTTGTACGTACTGGGGGAATTTCATTAATTTTACCGAATAATAACATGGATTTACACAAATATATGAACTAAAAACGTAAAATGTGTACCTAATGCGGCAATAAACAAAAGCTTTCGGTTGACGATTGAATAAGTAAGTATGTAACAAGACCGTAGAAGTTTTCCATGTGGTTCAAAATTCATCAAATTAGATTCAATTATTAAAACTGGATATCACTAACTCTTACATCTTAAAAAGTAATAAAAATATAATTAAATAATGAGAGAGAGCATGAGATGATAAGAGGATAAAACATTCATTCTTTCTCTACAGGTAAAAATATGTTTTGACTCGATTAAAATAATTTTAATATATTATATTAAAATAATTAATAGAATAAAGTCTTATCAAATAAAATCTTGTCATTATATCTACATCTGCTCTTTAAAGAATATAAGTAAAGTGATTAATTAATAAACGGCAACCGATAGGCGATAACCAACTAACGCAGACACAGTGCAGACGCGAAGTTCGCGGATCGCGTTGAGTGACGCGGACAAATTGCTCGTCGGCACAACAATAGATCGGTTCCCTGTAACAATATCATCTGTCCCTAACGCTAATGAAAATCCAATTAATTCCACTCTAAAACTCATTAGAAGTTTAATTGAAAACTCCAACGGCGATGTGAATGATGTAATGAAATTTCGGCTCGACTTGTTATTGTCATATGCATAGCGAATAACAAATGAGCAACCGCAGATTGTTTCATGGTTAATTACGTCAGTTATTTCGGCCGTGTGAAACCGTTTCAGTCATATTTATGAATATTAGAACGTGGACATAAAAAATAATGTAGATCTGTCGGTTTCAATCTCGGTTCTCTGCTGCTTTCGATCGGTCGGCTCGCTCATCGGACCGGATAATTTTAATCAGCTATGAAGAAAAGAAACAAAGATTCACTATGAAATGGGTTGCGAACTGTTAAACGATCAAAAACTGAATATAAAGGATTTCCTTTGAATCAGCAAATACAACAGTGCAGTTTTTTTGCGAAAAAGACAATTTTCATGCCACCATGTCATTTCAGCTCAATATTTTTCAGCTAAATGTATAGGTAATATTACTTTTTATCCATGAAGAGCGAACGGACGCATACAAATCATAAGTTCTTTTAAGTGGCTAATAGGATGTTGCCGTTTTACTATTTTGTGAGTTTTGTAGCTCATTAATTTTATTTAAAAGTAAATAAGTAAATCAAACTTACCTATCATGAGTAGAAGTAAAGTGAGTGGGGCTCTTGGATGAGGCCTGAGGGCACCGAGGACCGCTCCAGCGGCGACCAGGCAGGCTCCTACCACGCCGAGGAACAGCACACACAGCCGTAGAGGGGGCCGGCCACAACATGACTTGGGTGCGTTGCCTTCACCCTCTGAACAGGCATACGCTGCGCCTCTGCCTGATCTGCAAAAAAAAAAGAAATAGATTTGAATATGCGATTGAATCTAAGTATTGTTATTACGTGGGTGAGTGACAATTATAAGAAATATAAAAATATAAAATAATATAAAAATCAAGCACAAAGCCTGGGTTACAAGATGAAACAAAATTTTTTGTGATTTTGTTTTGCAAATACACATTAGAAAGTTATAATTACACGAGGTGACAGACAATAGCATTGTAATGATATCTCCATAATGCGAAGCCCCACATTTGGCCATATAAAACTTTTTCGTACAACAAAACCGCTCATTTATATTTTATGTACTGCAAAAAGTCACATTAAATAGAGCCCTGCATATTCAGGCCCTTTTTTATGAGTTTTTCGTTTATTTCAGCTAAAAAGTTACAAAATCAGGGCAGCTGAGGTATAATTCTTATGGAGAAAAGTGTTTTTAGCATGCATTGCGGTCGCCATAAAAATTAATTACGGGGAAACTTGGTTTTTCGTAATGGCTTTGAGGTAAGGTGACATTAAATCTTTGAAAAAATTTTACTATGTTATTAAAATAATGTTGGTATAAAGTTGAAAACATTCGCTAAGAAAATACATTTCCCGTTTTATAACATCGGCGTCGTGGACTTTGCAAAGTGACCTAGTGACGAAATCTTGACAAAAACTTTATTGTGGACGAATATTAAAACGCCGGCTTCCCTTAACGTCTTTCTTGGAGCTACATTTATTATATTAATAAGAAAATATAATGTTTAATAACAATGATGATGATAATTTTTCTGTGAAAATTCTATAATTTGCGTGTGTAAGTATGTAAGTAGGTACGTGTGAAAAAGATAAGATTTTTCTCAGGAAGTAGGTAGTAATTATTCTATTTATTTATTTTTAAACGTTGCCCCACACTCGGATTTTCTCCTTTATCGTGGGTGCATTTACAAACATACAAGTTCACATACACATGACACCCAGACCCGGAACAACAATTTGTGGATTGTGATCCACAAATTGTTATTCCGTAACAAAGAGTTATTCCGTGCGGGAATCGAACCCACGACACGTTGTGTGGCAGCCGGTTACCCAGCCACCGCCCTAACCGTGTTGTCAATTTACTTTGTTTTTATCGATTGCTTATTTACTTTGTTTTCATCTTAGTTGAATACCTAAATGATTATGAAAAGTGATTTTCTTGTTACGGAGTAAACGCGCAATATTTTTTTTTTCTAAAAGCTACCCTTACAATGACTTAGTAGTATTTACCAACTGAATATCTAATGTTGCCATTAGACGTAGAAGAAATAAAAAAAAAGATAAATTTAATTAAATTCTTAAAAAGTGAAATAAAGAAAAAAAAGACGAGCGTTGTTTTATGCAAACAGTCCATGGCTATACAGGGTGTGGTACTTCTAGAGTGATATTGTTCGCTCGGCTACACGAGCTCTGTGCCGTGGCGGCTTCTAAATAACCCTATTATTGCTCATTCAACGTTTGTGCAGCCTTTATCTTCTAGTTAACGCAGCGTCGGAACGTTGCTATACCGTAGGCACTGCTTTTATTATGCGTAGTGTTGTGCAAGCGTTTCTTTATATCTTTTTGAGGTTGGTTCGCGTTTCAAAATGCTTCAGTGTATTTGGAGAGAGAGAGTGACTTGAGGAAATCACCTAATTTTCCCATCGTGTTTTCCAAATTCCGATGTTTTCTTTAATTTGTTTATTCGTACTTTTGTTTTATTATTGAACCATTCGCTTATTAACACAAATAAAACCGTTTCGATAGGAAGTTATTGTAATTTGTTTCACTAATTGTTTTTTTATTTTATACTTTAACATTTCCAAGATTTTCTTAACGTCAAGTGATAATGAAGCATGTAAGTATAAAATAAAAATCTAATCAAATATACCAAATTAAGAACGAACCCAAGCAACATATATTTTTTAAAAAGGTTATAATAAAGAACAGTTATTTTCTCATTAACCATCACATCACTAAATTGCACGGGTTGTCGTAAACGTAGCAACTGACTCGCGTCGTGTAGCATTATGCATGCAGTAACAGTGTTCTCACGTGATATGAGGCTTACTGACTTAAAACCATTAAACCACTGACTCTACTCACTATTTAGGACCTCGAATTAAGTTAACCTTTTCATTTTGAAACTGAAAATAAACTTGTTTCAATTATTCGTAGTTACCTACTTATACCTAATTTCTCGACATTTACGTTACTAATGATAATTATGTTTCCTATTCGTAGTTAGTTCTAAAATTTCAAGTGGAAATTCTTCATATTTTTCACTAATGTCGTTTTTTTCCATTCAGACTGTCAGCGGTCAGGGCAGTTAGGTATGTAAATTGCACTCGAGTTCGCTAAATGCGGGCTCTTCACCAATTAGGGCTAGGTTGAACACGGCCCTTCATACGCTAATGGACTTTTTATGTTTTCTGACATTTTCCACACCACTACGTACTTTTTTATTTTTCAAAAGGCACACCCAGTGACGTGACGACATAAATTAATTCAGAACTCTTCCCCCACAATCGTGCTCTGCTGTCTAAGCGTCTACTTAATTTGCTTATGGAAATACTTTTGATCCGTACATACATACATAGATACATTATGACTTCGCATCAACTCTAAATCCATCTTTTGTGCGTACGTTCATATTAACGAGCGTCATTGAGAGCGATCACGGCTGAATGCACACGAGTTTGTCGACCCCACATCGTCTGACCCCTAAAGGAAGAGGGTTCTTATAATGTTAACAGCTAATAGCGCCGCACAGACAGATAAAAGTTCACTTTTATCTCTGTCACGTTTCACAAACGAACTTTTGAACCCATTCACACATTCACTATTTGTAATTCTATTGATCCGTCCGAATAGGCATTAATTTCTATTAAACAAAAACAATCGGGGCCAACAGAAGCCCACGAAAAGCCAACATTAGTATTCAGTCGGCGAGATTTGACTTACTTAAGAATGGAAAGCCGAGCTGTCAAAGGCAAACCATTTTATGTTTCCAGTGCAGTGATCCTAAGAGATCCGTAAGTATCTCAAGTACAAAAGCAATAGGACTGGAACGTTCTCATTGGTTAAATTTCGTATAAAGCAGCGGTGCGATAGTTGTCGGGCGGGACGGACATTTTGATAAATTACTATTGGTAAGTACAATAACATTCATTCCGTTGCTCGCTCGGTTCTCTTCTGTTTTTTTTAATTTGACTAGTCATCGCCGACCTCGCTGCTGAGTTCGATGAAAAACACGTTTTCCATTTCTACTTCACTGGATAAGACCTTTCACAGCACTCGAGTTTTTATTGAAGCTTACGGATGTATTATAATAAATTGTAGTAGATTTCGAGCTCATTTTCCTATCGAAGTCGTTTATCCGCTCGATAGCATCGCAGTAGTGGGATGAAATGAAAAAGTTCGCGTGCCAGATGAGATAGGTTGTAACACAGCAATACAATAAAGTGCATCGAATGACGCCATGTGTGCCGGAGATCGGTTCGATAAGCGGGGAAGAGATGACTCACTAGTTTATGCCCGATGTAATAGCCCTCGCCACGCGATACGGGAATACGCGCTTTATAGTACTGTAATTATGTTCGGAGTTTTATCACTTTTAAAACCTTTATGTGCGTCGGAAAATATAGTTACGGCTTTGATATGACACAACGCACAATACATGCGCTTTCATCATAATTAATCTACTCTGCCATTATCAACATGAATACGTTAGCCGTTATGTCATATACTATGGTCTGTGAGATAATAAATCTGTTCCGTCGTATTAGCAAAGGACGGAACACTCATAAAGTCAACTATTATGCACACGATTGTCTCACGGTTTCGAGATAACATCGAGTTACGCAGTAACTGTAAGGACAACGCAGATTAACATTGTCTTGTACTTAAGCCACATTAGGCCTCCAACATTTAGTGACATAATTCCACCGGCAGACATGGCGCTGAGTGTGTTATGCGCATATTAACCCGCATCTCGTCTCGAGTGGCGTGCTTCGGAGCGCGAAATTTATGTCGTTAATAAGGGCTAGGAGGGTTAATTAGCTGATTTATGTTGCCCATATTGCGGTACGCACTCTGGATTATGACCCTCTGGCATTGACAGTTTAATAGCCTCTCCATATAACACGGCTATGACTCGTCACGGAGAGCAATTACGAAGAACAACGATTCGGCAGTGATGCGTGACGAACCGGGATAGATTCGAAGAGATTTCTTGATTGAACGAGTAAGTGGGCGTCTGCAAAAACAGTGTTGAATTTTTGTTTAAGTACTCAGAGACCAACTTTTGCTGTACACGGATTAAGTAAAACGAATCGCGGTGAAACTGTGATGATCGCCGTCGATTTTTGCTTGTCGTGGAAGCAACATGCACAATTAACTTGTTAGTTAAAACACCCGTATCATTTATTTAGCTGAATCTCGTTTTTCCTCTTCAGCGTTTCACAGTTCCTTAAATAGTAACTAGTACTACTATATATTAACCTATAAAGTTGGTTTAGAAATAAATCCTAAAATAGGCAATTAGGTAGGTACTCTATACATTAAACCGAACCATGAATATACCCTGTATATCATACAATTGCCATCAAAAAGTACATCTCAATGGGGGAACTGTACAAATAAACCCGTCAGTATTCGTAGTACAAATATCACGTATTTGCAGTGTGATATGATGCGACGCAGGACGTCAAGCAATAATGCCACAATATGATCGCCTTGCGTGCCCTAAAAATGGCAATTTTGTGAGCAAACAACCGTGGCCCCTAGGCACAGTCAGCCGAGCAGAACAGTTCATGAACCTTATAACGTCGGGACATATGGATCCTAATCATCACTGGAATAAAGAGCAGCATAACTGGAAACGATCCAGTAAAAACAAAAGAAAAGTTAGAAATGGACCTAAATAAGTGAACAGACATAATACCTATAACGAAGAGTTCTGGAAATTCAGAAGAAAAACGATGTTCATACTGATTACGAA